GAAATATAGATAATTTTCGGGAGGTTTAGAAATATTTAGGGTAGTTCCATTAACTTCAAAGAAGCATTGAAAATGGCCGGGAAACATCCTAGATTTTCGGGGCAGTTTTCTTGAGAAATTAAGTGAAGTTTGATGAACTTTGGAAAAATTTCAAGAAGTTCAGTGGAAATCTTGAAACCATATTAACTATTTTGTTTGAACTTCAGGAAAATAGCGGGGACTTTGAAGAAGTTGCTGGATTGTTAGGGATGGCCATAGAACTCTCGTGAAATTTGAACAACAAATATTAAAATTTGAAGAACTTCAAAGGAGTACTTAGAACTCCAGTGAAGGTTTAGAAATTCTAGGAAATTCTGCCAAAAACTTCCAGAAAATTGATAAAGTCCCATAGAAGTTCAACGATCGTTAGCATTATGGAGAAACATTTTAATGAAAGTTCCGTAGACTACTGGGCAGTTTTTGTATGGTGGAAACTTCAGGGAATATCTGTTTCATTTTTTTCAGGAAGATGGAAAAAAGATTTTAGATGTCCCCAGTATTCAGGAAGTTCAGATACCTCCAAGGATAAACAGTATCAAAAACTACAGGAAACAGCAAGACCTACAGACCAGTTTCGAGCACATTAGGGAAGATCAAAGAACCTCAGAGCAATTCTGTTTATACATCTTAAAATCTGTGGAGAAGTTTTGATATTCTCAGGGAAGTTCTGAAATGCTTAGAATGGAATGGAGGAAGTTCCGAAAATTCCTACAATATGGTGGAAATCTCAGGAAAACTTCGTGAACATTGGGAAAACTATGGAGACCTCCGGGAAGATCAAAGAAAATCAAGGCAGTCCCATTAACTGTAGAAAACTGAAGACTTCAGGAAAGTCTTAAGAATTTCTTGTCAAAGGACATCAATAACTTCCCTGACGCTAGAAGATTTTACGATAGTTTAAAGTTCTTTATGAAAATTACGTGAACTTTAAGGCAGTTCAGCGAACTTTTGGAAAATTAATTGATCTTAAGGGCTGAGAGGAGGTCTGAGAACTTCCGGAGAACTTCAAGAACTTTAAGAATCTCTCTTAATATTCTTCAGAATCTCTTCAGGGTCCTTTGTACCTAGTATGCCTGCCAACCATCTTATTTCGGAATTCTTATGTGACTTGATGTGTAAAGTGAGAATTTCGGATGAATTAAAATGTAGCCGCTTCCTCGGGGGCTATTGCCGTTTCTTATTTTTATACTATGACAAAGAAACGAGCATGGCGGGATAGTTCAATGGTAAAGGGTCAGGCTTATCTAGATGATGGTCTGGCTAACTCTTGTTGGCGAAAGTATTTTACGTATTAGTATATAGTATATAGTATATAGTATATAGTATATAGTATATAGTATATAGTATATAGTATATAGTATATAGTATATAGTATATAGTATATAGTATATAGTATATAGTATATTACGTATTTAGTATTTTAGTATTTTTTTCAGTTGTATGGTGAGCTAATGGCATAAGTTCTATCCATGTCCCAGTGTCAATAATAGGGATCTAAATGAATGTGCACGCAGTTTTATGTTCTGTTATTAACATTATGGGTGCTCCTGATAGAAGGAGCTTGGAGTTGAGGTAGGTGGGTCCATAAGAAAAAATAACGAAAAAAAAAATACTTGGAGCTCACCTCAGCATTAAATTAGTGTTCTCCTCAAATGCCCATTGAGCTACCATACATATATGGAATCGTTTGAAGATTTTTGTAAATTATACTCAGATTTGTAATTGTAATTCTCTTTTAGCATACTCCCTATTCTCATGGAATTATGCTAAGGAGTATTTTTCTCCAAGGAACTTCTTGAAATTACCCTCAAAATTCCCAGGGATTTCTCCGTTGAACTGTTTTGATGTTCTTCTCAAATTATCTTGAGACAATCCTCTGAATTATCTTCCAAATTTTCTCAAAATTCCTAAGGAACTTTCCTATGAACTTTCGTGAAAGCTTCATTTGAATCCTATTTATAATTTCCATGCAATTCTACTCAAAACTACTTCCATGGGATTCTCCTTAGGTTTCATATGGAATCTGAAGTTTCTCAGAAGCTCCTTGAAGGTAGATTTTATTTGATGTTTTTCTCACGTTCTTCCCAGAACTGCATTGGAATTAATTTCCATCGAAATTTGAATCGAATTCCATGAGCGTTGAGCATTTTTCTTGGTTGGTTGATTTTCGTTTTCAAATCTGTGATCTAGATAAATGTTCAACGCCCAAAATTATGGATATTTATCTCCGTTCCAGATTGCTGAAAATGTCTACAAGTAGAAATGTTTTTAAATACAGAATTAAAAAATAATGATTTAGTATTAAATCTGTGAAGAATAGCCATGTTCCAGAATCTGAACAAAAAAATAAATCCTCTGAACAGTGATGGCATAATCATTGGCAAATTGTTATTTTTCCGCTCTCATGCACTATCAATATCACGCGTGATATTGGAGCGAAATATCATGCTGGATATTAATTTTAAAAGCTTCTTTGATATTGCGAGACTATTGACAACGTGTAAAGTTAAAGCTGAGAGTTGAATCGACGCAAAAATGATTCCATTTTCATTTTTCTCTTCATCGATGACAGACACGAAGCGACTGCTGCCAGCCGTTATGGAAGTTTCGGTTGCGTTCAAGTGTAAAGCGATAATCCTGATACTCAATCTCACCACAGTTTGAAGAGATTTGCAGCTGATGAATTTTGTTGTTTGCTTGTTGATTTTTGTATACGAAATTCAAGCGTGATCTTGTTCTTTGCGAGCTTAATTTTTTTGATATTTTCTCAACATAGCTCCTGAATTTTAAAATTTATTTGATATTGAAGATAAATCTAGGCCGGATCTATTAAGTTTAATGAGTGAAACAAAGTTACGAGCAAAATAATACTTTTGCATTATAAAATGTATTATTTGACTTAATTTTTTTTTTTAATACTTTATTATAGAGATTTTTAACCATAGGCTAGTTTATCTCTATATTTGACTTAACATTCCTCAGAATTTATTGCAAATTCCAAGTTTTTCGAGGAAAACATACTTCCCTGAAGATTCCAGGTTTTCCAGGTAGTAGACACAAAACAAATGTATATGCATGTCAAATTCATCATATTAAAAGTATCCCTTATGTATAGATTGCAGATATTTTGTGGTGATAATTGAGGAAATTAGTCCCAATAGAGAATATAAATACCTTGATGCTAGATTAAATAACAGGTTTTTTAAACTAGATTTCATTTGTAGTAAATACCAATCGCAAATCTATTTTGAAAACTTACAAACAACAAATTTTCCAGAAAAATTTAGATTACCTAATGATCATTTAATATTAGTTCTAGACCCAAGGTTATCTAATAAAATATAACACCAACATAGACAGTTCTTGAAAGCATCTTGGAAAATGATCTATGCGTCACACATTTTAAAAACGGCCAGGCCTAGTGTGCGTAATTTAAGGGGCAAGATGATCCAGAAAACATCGAGTCTGTCTAAACACAATGCTTTAGAAAGCAATAAATAAATTAAACGAGGACATCTCGTACCCACAATCCAGCCGAAGTAAATGGATACGAGAAAGAGTTCACGTATACAATTTTGCAAAAACAGAAACGTAAGAACACATTCAAAACATAACCACACTACAACCAGAGGGGGTTGGGGTGAAGTTAAGAGAATTAGCCTACGGGTTTATCCTACAGGCTATTCAACATCGCGTTAGAAGGAGTGATCAGAAGAGCTGGGATAGACACGAGTGGCACGATCTTCAGGAAGTCCATCCAGGTTCTTGGCTTCGCCGATGACTTAGAACTTTGAGACGTTGGCGGAAACGTACATCAGACTGAAGGCTCAAGCTAGGCGGATTGGACTTGCCATCAACGCATCGGAGACGAAATGCAAAGGTGTTTCCCAAAGAGAACAGGGCTAAATATCTCAGCTCCTGGTTGCACCATCTATTGGCAGTCGTTTTAAAATTTCATCACAGTCGGATGAATGGAAACCAAGTTATTGCGAATCAAATTACAGTCTGCTCGCAGTGTCGGTACAAAAATGTCGATCGAACAAAGAGCCAACTTGGCAAACACTTTTCCGAAACGTTTCAAATGGTCAAACAATTGTTGAAGATGCTAATTTCAAATAACAGACTGTAGTGGTAATTTTTATACGATAGATGGAGTAGATGAAAGTGTAGAGTTGATAGTTGCGTTAGAGTACGGCAGTGTGAAAATTGCATATAGATAGTAGAATAGCGAGCTAGAACAACTTTTAAGGAAGGTACAAATCGGTTTTTTCATCTCTCTTTACCAAACTCCCCCTTTGGAGAGGGATGGTGAGGGGTGTCCCCCCCCCCGCCACCACTGGCAAAAAGAGATGAAACCCGACCCGCTCAAGTACCAACTGTGTGTTTGAAACAGTTCTACCGATTTTTTACCGCACTTCAGTTGTTATTTTAAGGAATGCATCCAGTCGTAGGTTTGGAAATTGCAATTATAAGTTTATTTTGATGAGTTGGTTGGAAATGCTAACATGAAGCTTTAGTGTGATGATTTATTAGCTAGAGAATGATCTTTAGAAGAGGGTAGGTGGATAGTTCCGTTAGAGTACGGCAGTATGAAAATTGAATAGAAGTTGAAAATGAGCGAAGGGCCATTAAAGCGACAGTTTTCAAGATGACGCACATTTTTGCCTAGCCCGTACGATGTACGCGGGGACTTGAAGTATGTCTCCAAGTCCACAGGCAAAAATGTGCGTCATCTTGAAAACTGTCGCTTTAATGGCCCTTCGCTCATTTTCAACTTCTATTCAATTTTCATACTGCCGTACTCTAACGGAACTATCCACCTACCCTCTTCTAAAGATCATTCTCTAGCTAATAAATCATCACACTAAAGCTTCATGTTAGCATTTCCAACCAACTCTGAAAATCGTTAACTTCGCGTATGAAGTAACATAAAAAACACTGATTTGGTTGTTCGACTGGTTTTATGGAGATTTCGTTTTTATGGCTTTCTCAGTCTAGGGTAATTCAAACAGTTAGTTTTGCATTGCCCGACGTTTCGGCCGTTTATTGTGGCCTTTTTCAAGGGTAAACTAGAAAAATATTACAACCTATAGAGACTACTACTAACATTAAACATTGATATAAAATGAACATACACAGTCTACCGTTTGTCGTCAAATTTTTTTGTTTGTTGCCACGATAAGCGTGTTTAGCTTGGAGGAGCTTCCTGTATGGTGCCTGTATTTTAAATGTTGTTAAGGTACTATTTCGCGGTATTTTGTTTTACTGGACTTACATTGAGTTTAATATAAATTAACATAGGACACTATATGACACTACACTATACAACGGTTATTTTGAAGAAGATGGTGGGATAAAGCATACACAAAAGTAGATAAAGCTCATCTATGTCGACTCGTTCGTGCTTTGTTCAACTTGACTGTGTGTATTGTTTCGTGATCGTTCTCTGCGTGAGAGATTAGCTCTCACGGTATGTAGAATACCAGCGTACGTTGTGTTTAGCCCCGCTACATCTGTTCTATAATTAACGGTGTTAGATGTGTTGTTTATATGACACATTTCTAGCATCGATAAAGCAGAACTTCGGTAGGTGCGATCAATTATTTTTGTACCTTCAAGATTGAACGTGTGCTGGTGATCTGCTATGTGTTGTATAAGTGCGGTTTTCGCATGGATGTGCTGTGTTGTTTGTAGGATTTCTGCTAGTTTATTTATATTGGATTTGTGTCCACTTAATCGTTTTTTTAAGTGGTTTGTGGTCATACCAATATAAACTTTTTCGCAATTCCTACATGGGATGCTGTAGATGACGTTGTGTTGTTGTTGTGGTACTATTGGATCCTTTACCGGTTGTAGGAGTGTTTTGGTTGTTTTGATCGTTCTTGGAGCTATTTTTACTGTAGGGTATTCTGTTTTTAGGATTGCGGCAAGTGCTGACGTCAAGATTGGGATGTTTGGCATTGATCGGTATTTTAGTTGTTCCGAAATTTGGTTGTTGTTTTCGTGTCGTTCATGGGCCGTGGAAAGCTGGACTGAAGGTGAACTATTGGTGTGATGCTGAAAAAGGCCACAATAAACGGCCGAAACGTCGGGCAATGCAAAACTAACTGTTTGAATTACCCTAGACTGAGAAAGCCATAAAAACGAAATCTCCATAAAAAACACTTTGAATGTTATTTTGATGATTGCTGAGAATTCAATATTTGAAATACATCATTAAGGAGGCAAGAAAGGACAAAAACTACTTGTACAGCATTGTATTGTGACGGGTGACGAAACGTGGTGTTTTCAATATGATCCAGAAAACAAATGCCGAATGGAAGCCTCCAGGCGAGCCAAGTTCGAAAAAAAGCCGTTTAAAGAAGTTAAAAGTGAAGACAATGTTGATTTGTTTCTACGATCCTTAGAGGATTTTTATTCATTAAGAGTTCGTTCCAACTGACCGTATGGTTAATTCTGTATTCTACCTTGATGCTTTGAAGCATTTGATGAATCGTTCTTCTTCTTATCATTCGCATTTCAAGCTTATTGCTTAGCACATATTAGCTTATTGCGTGCTCTCAACTTAGTCTTCTAAAAATTGCACTTCCACAGTTATTAATTGAGAGCTCTTTCGATGCCAATATCAAGGCATGAATTTGTATATTGTATGGAAAGGCAAGTACAATGATACTGTATTGCCCACGGAAGACGAGAAAATTTCCAACCGAACCCGCCGACTCCGGATTGGTAATGCCGTGCCTTTACTGACTAGGCTATGAGGCCGCTATGATTGATTCATCGTATTGGTCGATAATGGTCCGTCGCATCGGTTGACGCTTGTGACGCGTTTTAGCCATCAATCATGCCCCGTATTCGCCTAATTTGGCACCGTGTGAATTCTACTTGTTCGGAAAATTACATTTTCCGATGAAAGTAAAGCATCATAACGACATTGAAGACATCCAAAAGGCTTATACCACCAACCTGAAGGACATCCCTTTCGAGGCCATAAACACTCTTTTGATATGCTTTTAGATCATGCAAATCGTTGTATTGAGGCCGAAGGGGACTATTTTGAATAAAATAAAGTCGATTCGTCGAAAGAATAAGTCTTTGCTCTTTGTTTAAAGTCCTGTTTACTTTCGGAAACACGTTGTACATGAGAGGAAGAGGTTCTAGGGAAGACAATCTTAGCCTCTCACCCCGTCGAGGTGGTCGACTAGCTCGTGTATTTTGGATCACTGGTGACTGCCGAGAATGATATCAGCAGAGATGCATTATGGCAAGAAATCGTGGCTACTGTGGACTCCGGAGGAAGCTCCGGTCGAATAAAATTCGCCGCCGTACGAAAGTGATTATCTACAAGACGCTCATTAGACCAGTGGTCCTCTACGGCCACGATACCTGGACTATGGTCGTGGCGGACCTTGTGGAGGACGGGGGTGTTTTCGAACGGAAGGTGTTGCGTACCATCTACGAGTGCAGATGGATTACGGAATGTTGAGGAGGCGAATGAAGCACGAATTGCTCCAGCTGCTGGGAGTACCATTTATCGTCCACACTGCAAAAATTGGGCGACTACGGTGGGCTGGACACGTCGTAAGAATTCTGTTCAGCAGGAACAAGAAAAAGAATCGCGCAGCGGGCAAGGTGGGTCGACCACGTAGAAAGTGACCTGCGGACCCTTCGCAGACTACGAGGCTGGCGATGTGTGGTCATGGATCGAGTAGAGTGGAGATGACTTCTTCGGACAGCAAGGACTTAGTCTGATTGGTATGATATTTTAGTCTAAAGTCACCAACACAATTAAAAACACACTCAAACGACAAGGGCTTCATATAGTTCACTAAAGCGTCAACACTTTACGCGACCTGTTGTGTAACTTAAAGGACAAGGTCCCGCCGGATGAGCAGTCTAGGGTACATCAAAATTCCTGCCAGAATTTCTCCTCTGTGTACATTGGGCAAACATAAAAATGCTATCGACAACAGAAAATTATATGAATCAGCTGTGGTGGCACACACAACGGGTTTTGGTCACCAAATAAAGGGCGAACACGAAATTATTGCGACACCGAAAATGTCATGCCAATTTTCTTATAATGTTTAGAATCAAACCAAAATTTTAGGGTAGTTTTATACATATATTTACTTCAAAAATCAAAAGAAAAGTTAATCGATGGAGCCTTGAGTGTAAAATTGAACGCATTTTTGCTTGATGCCCTCCATCAAAGTCTTTACAGTGTCATCCGGTACCAGTTTCTCAGTTTTTTTTTCCATTTTCTTAACATGTCCTTCTCGTCTTTGACTGTCTTTTTGCTCTTCCGAAGTTCCCGCTTCATTATTGCCCAGTACTGCTCCACCGGGCGCAGCTCCGGACAGTTTCGCGGATTCATGTCCTTTGGAACAAAATGGACAGAATTGGCCTCATACCACTCCAGGACACTTTTAGAATAGTGGCATGATGCCAAATCTGGCCAAAATAGCGGAGCTTCGTCGTGCTGCTGCAAGAACGGCAAAAGGCGCTTCTCGAGGGCAATCAGATTTGTAGATCTCGCCATTTACTGTGCCCTTTGTCACGAAAGGCTCACTCCTCAGTCCGCAAGAGCAGATGGCCTGCCAAATGAGATATTTGGAGGTGAACTTCGACATTTTCTTCTTCTTAAATTTGTCGTCCACATCAAACTTGCTCTTGCCGGTGAATAACTCCAACCCCGGAATTTGCTTAAAATCGGCTTTTAAATACGTTTCGTCGTCCATCACACAACAGCCATATTTTGTCAGCATCTTCTCGTAGAGCTTCCGTGCCCGAGTTTTAGCCGTCGATTGTTGCCGCTCATCGCGGTTTGGGAAGTTCTGTACCTTGTATGTATGTAGTCCAGCTCTCTTCTTTGCATTCTGGACGTAGCTCTGCGACATGCCGATCTTTTTAGCCAAATCACGGCTTGAGACGTTGTGATTTGCTTTAATCATCCGCTTCACCTTTCCCTCCGTCTTTTTCTTCTCCGGTCCCGGTTTTCTTCCAGCTCCTTTGCCGTGGTTCAACGTCAACCGCTCCTGGAACCGCTTCAACACTCTGGAGACGGTTGAATGGTGAATGTTCAACATTTTCCCAACTGCCGGTGCGACAGGTCAGGAAATTCCAGGTGTTTGGAATGAATTTGTTCTCTCAACTCGCGTTGGTTCACCTCCATTTTCGTTGAATAGAAAAACACGACTTCGAGTTTGACAGCATGTACACAATACACATCAATGAGAAAGTGTGCAAAATTTGGTTGATTTTTACCCAATGGTAAAAAAGTTATGCCCTGTTGAATGTGTCGCAATAATTTCGTGTTCGCCCTTTAGTAGATGAAATCTGTCAGAAAGCTTTTTCACATCAACGCATGGGAATCAATGCAGATAACCAACACACAGGAGGTGCTGACGAATGAAGATGATCCTCCCATAACGCCATGCCCAAAATTCAGCATCGCACCCGAAATCGGTCGACAGAATGGTGGTTTATAATCTGTTTTAACGTTGTAAGAACGATAAGCGTCTTATCTCGCGTCGCGTTTTGTGAGTATCTCGTACCGTACGTTCCGTTTTTGGCAATTATATGATTGGTTGGTTGTTGGCACGATCTAGGCTAGACAGGTTAAGTGGTACTTATTTTTCCTCTGGCGGTTGGGACAAAAGCACTAGCTCTTGTCCAAGCATTTTATGCCTTATGGCTATAGCGCCATTACTCCCTTTCGGAAAAGAAAAGAGGGAAAGGAAAAGGATTATATATACTGTATGAACATAAACCATATTTTTTATTTGAAACATACAATATCACTATTAACAAGGCATAAAAAGTAACAAGGACGTTACTGGTTTAGTACTAGTATTAGACCAAAGCAAACACTTAACCAAATAAGTGGCTATTCCGTGACCGGTGCTCAACTGTATACATCCAATAACGTGAAATAGATTGCCAATGGTTACTTTGTGGAAAATTGAAGTGTTTCACACAGCAATTGAATACAAAATCTTCGTACAAAAGTCTTCTTCCTCCAGCGACTGGGAATACGAGGAAGTGCCGGAATATCATAAAGCAAATTGCGAAGAAGCCAAACGTATACTATGTACAATAAATTGGCAGAATTTAATAAGTATTGAAGGAAATGTCGATACTGAAGTAGAATAGTTTCACTCAATTCTTCAAAGCCTAATTTTAGAAAATGTACCAACAACAAAAAAAAAGAAGACGAACACAAAACAATAAACTACCCACATGGTTCAATCCACAACTGAAAAATTTTAAGAATAAAAACAGAAAGCTCATAAACTATACAAAAAAGAAAAAACTTAAACCAATTTGCGAAACTATCAATACTTATGCAACCAACTAAATACAACCATCAACTCTGCATATGAGGATTATAACCGCAATGTCGAAAATGAAGTCAAGTGATGTCCTAAGAACTTTTTCAATTATGTAAACCCGAAATTAAACAAAGTAGCAATTTTCCTTCGCGAATGAATTTGGATGCAAATGTAGGTGAGAATTCTTCTGAAATTTGCAATCGCTTTGCAAACTTCTTCCAAGAAGTATACACCACATTTTCCAGAGTAGATCAAGACCGCGATTTCTTTGCATTCATTCCTGAAATTTCTAAAAACATCTCTGTCAACCAACTTTCTCAACATGAAGTCCTCAATGCACTACAAAATTTAAACGCATCGAAAGGATCTGGAGCTGACGGCATCGCACCCATATTTTTGAAAAACCTTTCTGAAGAACTCGCATTTCCTCTAGAGCGTCTTTCCATCATGCCTCTGAAAAATGGAAAATTCCCTGAAATTTGGAAATCATCTTATTTGGTACCTCTTTTCACATCTGGCGCAAAATCAGACATTTGAAATTGTCGTGGAATTGCTATTATTTCTTGCATTTCAAAACTTTTTGAATCAATCGTAAACGGCAATATTTTTCAGCAGGTGATTCATTTTCATCTGCAGAATGGAGCGGATGCTTTCAAATATGATATTGCCATTGGAAGATTTACACAATCTAGTAGGGG